TCGCTATGTATTCCAGGCTGACTTGAACTTGCAATCCACCAACCTCAGCCTCCCCAGTGCTGGGATTATAGACATGCACCACCCCGGTTCAACCTATCTTTAATGTAGTTCATATTATTCTTGGTCTTTCTCTCAGTTTTCTCTAGGACACAGTAAGGTGAGAGGGATTCTGGGGACCTCACAATCTGGAACAGTTAGCATGAACTGGACAGCCAAGTGTGGAGTTGCCTTCTGCCTCAGCTTCTCTTTTTTCTTGGGCAGGGCACCAGTTGCACTACCTGTAACTAGAGGTCCTTGTCAGAAGTTAAAGAAGTAGGATTTTAAGGAAGAACCTGGAGGCAAGCAGGAGGTACAAGGGATCTTAGCAGACACCCCTTCGGTGGTATGCTATGGGTAACACCTGGGCTACAGTGTCAGGGAAGAATACACCCCTCTTCAGAGCTCAGCAACAAGGTGAGGCTGTGGTGTAATGATGTTAGAGAAAGCAAAGTTGAAGAATTTTTGTTAAGGGTGACATCACCCTCTTCTGACAGGAGAAAACAATGGATAACATGTATTTACTCCCTCCTCTGCCTTCCCAAAGAAATAAGGTCACTGGAGAAGCTGATCCAAGACTCCCTCTGTGGTTTCAGTGGAATTAAATGAAGCATAAGTGGGGGTACAAAAAGGAGAAGCAAAAAGATTTACTGTAGAACTGAGAGATTTAGGCAGGATTTCTTTTAAGTATGTATCCCAAACATTGTGCAGGATATGTGCTTTTGCAAAAGTATTAATTGTCTGAAATTCAAATTTTACTGCATATAATGTATCTTGTCTAGAAACCTCACTTTGTTATTTTCTTGAAAGACTATAATAAATATTTACATTTAAGACATTTTTTGAACCAGACATGGAATTTAAGGACTATAAATCAACTCAATTTCAATGTTAAGCTGGATCCTAAATTTACATTCTACAGGGAAGAAACAAGTGACCATAAGTGCTGTAAGAAAGAAAGGAAAGTTCATGGGAAAAAGCCACCCAAACAGATGTAAAAGGGAAAAACACAAAATAGCTGAAAGAACTAACTTGACACTAAATGAGACAGCCTTCCCAAACAGCAGGGTAGAGAAGGATGGATATAAATGTTTAAATAAATCTGTACATATGAGATTTAGAAGTTTTGCTTAGATTGTTACTTCTCTTGGAGAGAGGACCAGATTTTGCTAAATGTCTGACATTTAGTAAACAATGGCCATTTGTCAAACTAAACTGATCATCTTTTTGTTGGGAAGAGGAGGGTGCATTTAAGATTTAGGATAACAACTTGGAGAACTGAAGAAAGGAATGATGAAATATACAGAAGAGACTTCCTCAATGACTACAATGGAGGTGAGTGCCACACTTAAGTAGTAATTTAAATGAGAATTGTAGGCTAGCCAGTGCATTTTCTATGATTTGCCAAGTCCCCATTTCTCATTGTTCCCAGACACTTGGAATGTGACCCCACAACCAAGCTCTGCTTTTTGCAAAACTTTGACCATTTTGCAAAATAAAATATTTTCAAAAACAAGAAGGAAAGAAAGAAAAAGACTTTTCCAATAAGACACTGTAACTCTTACTTTCCCATGCATAAAACAATTCTCAAAGAAACCAAGAATGTAAAAACCAAGATTTTTTAAAACAATACCCTGAGCACTTTCCATTTAGTCAGACTAGCACTTAACAAAGACCTAAATATGAAAAGAAAAAGAAACATAGAAAGTGTGTGAGGAAAGTCCCAAAAAAAAATAAAAAATCATTATCAACAATGCTACTGGTTTTGTTTTCCAAGTGGTAGAGAGAAACTTTCAACTATAATGAGCTCTTCCAAGCACTAGAAGGGTAGAGGCTTCAAACCTTGCATGGGCCTTGTTACTTTCATCTACACACTTGGAACATTTTTCTCAGGTAAGTCAAGAGGAATCCACAACTCGAAACATAAACTAAGAAAGAACTAGCCTTGTAAAAAAATACCCTATAAACTCATCAACAGACACTAATAGAAAATAAAAAAGCCACAACTGGGAGAAGATATTCACCATTGTAGATATAGAAAGGTATTTCAGTATAGAATACACATCTACAACTCAGAAAGTTAAAGATAAATAGGCAAAATACCTGCACCAGCACTCAAGAGTATATGAATGGCCAAAAGCACACATCAAAATGCTTTACCATCATTAATCATTAGAGTGGTGTGAATTTACAACACAGATATACCACATGAGTAAGAACCATTGACTATACCAACTTGACAAGCATATGGAACAACCAGAACCCTCTTACAAGGCCCAGTCACTTTGGAAAACTGCTAGATTCTTTCTAAAAGTTGAATAATTTACCCTGTGACTTAGCAATTCCTGTAAAATATTTATCCAAGACAAAAGGAAACTGGTGTAGGTAAATTTCAAAAGCATTATGCCAAGTGAAAGACATCAGGTACAAAAAAAGTACATCTTAACAAAACTAGTATTATGGTAACAAACCTCAGAAAAGTTGTGATGTCTTGGGGAAGACTAGGAAAAGGTAAAAAGAAACTCCTGGAACAATAGAAATGCTTCATGACTCATGGATTACATGTGTTCATGCATTGGTGAAAACTGATTTAAGTGACTGATTTGAGCATTTTACTATATTACACATTATACATCACTAATAGCATTTTATTTTGAATTAAATTTTTTGTTTGAAATAACTGTAGATTCATTCAGATGAATTCATTTTTGTGAATTCATTCTTATCCTGTGTACCCTTTAGCCAGTTTCTCACTGTGGTAACATCATTCAAAGCTACAGCACAATGTCTCAACCAAGATATTGACCTTCATACTGGCCTTGAAAGTCAAGATACAAAATATTTCCATCACCTCAAGGGTTCCTCATGCAACCTTTTCATAGCTACACCCATTCCACCCTGCCCGCATTCTTAAACTCTGACATTCACTAATCTGTTCTCTGTTTTTATAATTTTGCAATTTGAATAATGTCAAACAAATGAAATTGTACAGAATGTAATCTTTGGGGTTAGGCATTATTTTCACTCATCATAATTCCCTAGAGATTCATCAGGTTTTGCATTTTTCTATAGTTTCTTCCTTTTTATTTCTGAATAGCACCCCATGATATGGATATACACAGTATGGTTAGCCTCTCTCTGATTGAAGGATTTCTGGGTTGTTTACGGTTTGTGAATATTACACATGAAGCCAGGTCATATGGTTACTTGCATTTTCTTAAAGAAATTATCAAGTGCTTTTTCAAGAGTAGATGTACCATTTTGTATTCTGCCAGCAATGAGTGAATCACCCAGTTTTCATTCTCAGCAGCATTCAGAATTGTCATTAATTTTATTTTAGTTCTTTTGATGGATGGATACCTAGTTCGAATTTCTCTAATGGATAACAAGTCTTTCCATGCACTTACTGATTTGTTGTTTGTGTATCTTCTTGCTGAAAGGTCTCTTTCATGTGTTTAAACATTTTCTTTTCTAATTTTATTTTTTGTTTTGCAATGTTGAGTTTTGAGAAGTCTTTCTAAATTCTAGTAACCAGTCCTTTCTTGGATACGTTGTATTTTATTCTTCTACATAAGGTCATCTACAGAGTAAAAGGTTTTAATTTTGATGAGATCCAGTTTATCAATATTTTTCTTCTATGGCTAAATATTCTTTGCCTAGTCTAGATCCCAAAGATTTTTATTCTATCTCTTTTCTAAAAGTTTTATAGTTTTACATTTACATTTAAATGTGGTCCATTTCTAGTTAATTTTGTGTAAGACATGAGGTTTATGTTGAGTTTTGGCTGGACTGTTGGTTTGTTTTTCAATGGATTCCAATTTCTCTAGCCATGTTTCTTAAAAAGGCTGTCCTCCCCCAGCAAATTGCTTTTGCGCCTTTGGTTAAAAAAAAAATCTGCTGAGCATGTAGTGTGTGTCTGTCTGGGGTTTCTATTTCATTTCATTGGTCTTTGTGACTATTCCTCTGCCAATACCACACAGTCTTGACTATTGCACCTGTTGAGTAAGTCTTGAAACAGGTGTTTTCCACTTTATTTTACCTTTACAAAATAATTATTTAAAAAACATGTCCAAGTGGTATTAGGCTTAGTTATTTTTATTTATACTATAATATAATAGCTATATTATTATATCAATTATATTTATCATATTGTATTATATTATGTTACATTATATTACATCACATCACATCATATTATATTATATTATATTATAATTAATAGTTTTTCATGCAGAATTTACAAACCAGGAAAAAGTCATCAGTCTTAATGACCCTAACATCATTATGGAATTTTCTGGGAAATATGTTGAAATCCTAGCTTTTTACACATGGAAAGGATTTGAGGGCTAACACTAGTCTTTCAGGACTTCATGTATAAAGTCTCCCTCTGTTCACACTGAAAATTACTTCAAATAGTTCTTGGAGGTCTTCCTCAGCACCTTGGCTACGAATAGAAGTAGACTTTTGGGGTTCTCCAATAGTTTCGTGTGAATTAAACACTTTTATATTGGTGTTCCTCAGTGAAGCTCTCAATATTTATACCTTGGGTAGTCTTCTCCCTTGTGACTAGTTTAAATATTAGCATATGTCAAAAATGATGTTTTGTTAATATACAAGTCTATTGCTTTCTTGTATACTAGAAATTAACAATTAGAATTTGAAATTAAAAACACAGCCCTGTTTACATCAGCATAAAAATGAAATACTTCAGTATAAATCTAACAAAATGTAATATCTATTCATTAAAAACTGATGCTGGGCTTGCCTAAACCTTAGGAAGACTTGCTAGCTGTGACTGGCACTCCTAGGAGCCTATAGCCACCATGTAAAAGTCCCACTACCTTGCTGGGAAGACCAAGTGGAGAGACCACATGGGGAAATCAAGTGCAAAAGAAGAGGCTCCGAATCACAGAGTAGAGCCAAAAAACTCAACCAACCATGAGAACCATGGCCCAGTCACTTACCTTGTTGTACCATTCCAGCCAGTCCCCAGCTATTCCAGTCACTCTAGCACAGACACTTGGCATGTGAGCAAAGGCACCTTCCTAGACTCCTGACTTGAGCAGGTCTCATGCAGAGCAATTACAGCCAGCCCTACAGTGCCCTGCCTGAGTTCCTGACTCACAGAATTACAAACAAAGAAAATAGTTGTTACTGTCACTTAGCTTCAGGGTTGTTTACTATATGGTATGTGTTAGTCAGCTTTCTATTGCTGTCACACAATACCTGAGATGATCTACTTAAAAAGAGGAAAGGTCCATTTGGGCTCACAGTTCCAGAGATTCAAGTCCACGGTCAGTTGGCCCTGTGAAAAAGAGGGCATATCATAGCACGGGGCAGGGAGCACATAGAGGAACAATCTATTCACCTCATGGGCATCCAGGAAGCAAGGAGAGAGAGGCTGGCAGGAGCTCCAATATCCCATCAATGGCCCACCTCACTGTGCCTGGAAGACTTCCAACTTGGCCCCACGTCTTCAAAGGTCACCATCTGCCAATGGCACCATGGGCTGAGGACAAAGCTCTTAACCCAAGATATGGGTGACCCTTACTTGAACAGTATTGCAGCAACAGACAAGTGAAACACCAAGGCCAGGAAAAGGTGATGCTCTCTTTTGTCCTGGTCCCTACAAAGTTTGTTTCTGTATAAGTGGAAAGTGTAATTGATTCAGAAATCAACCATCCTTCTTAGGTCATGCAGCTTCTCTTGCATCCTTTCTGCCAGAATCTCAGCTTCAGGCTCCATGAGAGTTGTACCCAGTTCCATTTCTAAAATGAATATTAATGGTCAGAGTGGTTTCTTTGTGTGATATGTCCATAGTGCATGTATAATGTGCCTCGACCAAATTCACCCTTCCATTACTCCTTCTTATCTCCCCACCATTTTTTTTACAATTTTAATGGGTTTCACTATTTTATTTTCATACATGCATACAAAGAACTTCAGTCATATTAACACACGTACCACCACCCTCTCCTTTCACCTTTCCCCTCCCACTAGTTCTGTCCCCAAACAGGGCCTGTTTTACATTTGCTGTGTAGCTCAGGTTGGCTAACTTGTAATCCTTCTCTCTCTGCCTCCCAAGTGCTAAGATTATAGAGGTACACCACTGCACCAGCTGCATGTGGGTCTGAGCATATTCTGCCATCATTTTAATGTACAGTAATATAAACCAAGAAAAATCATTCTAGGAATAAACTTTGCTAGTGGAGTGGAATACCACTTACAGTCTCCCTAATGAATCCAGTTCAATGACTGGATATTAAAATTAGAATAAAACTGTGCTCTCTTTATAAACTTAAAAAAATAAAAGAACATAAGAGTTTAAAACATTTTACAGTGAGTACATTTGGTATTTCCTTTCCTCATAGAAATAATGCCAAATTATTTCATGTATTAGAACTTTCTAGAAGTATGATTTTAACAGATGAAAGATTGTCAGCTAAATGGCCAACTATGCTTAATACTAATAAATTATGTAGACAACTGTGCTTTGTGCTTTTATTTCCCATTGATGATAAAATTAAATATTCAGGTTTCTTAGAATATCAAATTGCTTGATTAGACTAACTTTCTAGTTTAGAAGTATAATTTTTTCTGGCTTTTTTTCCTAGCATATTTTACACAGGAGTTTTGTTGTGATATTTCCATCTGTACAATATAATATACTTTGATCAAATTCAATCCCTCTATTACTCTTTCTTGCTCTCCCCCCTTTTGGATGTACAAGGATTTGAACTCAGGGCTTCACACTTGCTAAGCAGGTGCTCTACTACTTGAGCCATGCTCCTAGCACTTTTTTTTTTTTTTTTGCTTTAGTTATTTTTTAGGTATGGTTTCATATTTGCTCAGTCTGGCTTATTTCACATAATATGATGATCTCCAGTTCATTTCATTTTTTTCCTGCAAATGACATAATTTTATTCTTCTTTATGGTTGAATAATACTCCCCTGGGTATATATACCACATTCATCAATTGATGAGTACCTAGGCTGATTCGATACTTTGTGAATAGTGCTGCAATAAACATGAGTGTTCAGGTATCTCTATTGTGTGCGACTTACATTCCTTCATATGCCCAGCAGTGGTATAATCTATTTTTAGTTTCTTGAGGAACATCTATACTTATTTCCATAGTGGCTGTACTAATTGTCATTCCCACCAACAGACCACCATGGCTCCTTTATCTCCTGCATCCTCACCAGCATTTCACATTAGTTGTTTTCCCAGCCATTCTGACTGGGATGAGCTGGAGTCTCAGCATCACTTCAATTTGCATCTCTTTTATAGCTAAAGATGTTGAACGTTTTCTCATACATTTTTTTAGCCACTTGTACTTCTTCTGAGTACTGTCTGTTCAAGTCACTTGCCCATTTATTAATTGCACTATTTGTCCTTTGGAGGTTTAATTTCTGAGTTCTTTATACATTCTGGATTCTCCCACTCTGTAGGCTGTCTTTTCATTCTAGTAATTGTTTCCTTTGCTATATAGAAGCTCTCTAATTTGATGCAATTCCATTTCTCGATCTCAATCTTATTCCCTGAGCAATTGGTGTCCTATGTCTGTTTCTCATGTGTTTTCCTTATGTTTTTCTATAGTCATTTCAAAGTCTGAGGTCATACGTTAAGACCTTTGATCCATTTTGAACTGATTTTCTTATACAGTGATAGTTGGGCCAATTCTTAAACTACTTATGCAGTTCTTTAACTTGGAATTTTCTGAGGGGAGTCAGGATCAGCTGAACTCACTCTGAGGAATGATCACGCTTGATGACAAACCTAACTGTACACAGCAAAGGAGGAGTTGCCACTCTTCGTCTCTAGTTCCCCCTCACTAGGAGCTCATCAAAAACCTTACCTGGGCATTCTACCAATATTTGTGGAGTTCCTACTACCTGCCAGGTGCTACTCTAGCTTGTTGCATACAATCGAGAACACAGTAAATTCCCTGCCGTGGGGCTCTTTCCCATAGGATCATGTGGGAACTGGTGAGCTGGCTTGGGCTGGACCACAATGATCTCACAGCACGAAGGTCTTGCAAATCAACTTTGCTATGTCTCCAGATGGTTCCTGATGCTTTTGTGACAAAAATGAATGAATAAACCCTTATTGCTAATTACAGAAAATTCTGAGTTTCCATCTATAGATCAGTTGATGACTTTCTGCATCAACTGTACTGAAAGCTGCATGCTTTCTTCCACAGCTACCTGTCTACTGCTTGAGAAAATGTTTTGTGCTCAGAAATACCTTCTCCTGCCACTTTCATACCCTGCAAATGTAGTCTCTTGCTCAGCTGTTTTGTTTTGTTTTGTTTTGGGGGTTTGCCCACTTCTTGGTTAAAGAAGTGGAGGAATACACCTGGAATGAAATGGAATGCCGACGGCACCCATGTTAGTCCTCTCTGATCTTCAGAGGAAGCCCATCAGCTGGATGGCCACTGACCTTGCATTTTAGATCACCGTGGTTCAACTTTACCAGAGCTGATCTGGTTCCTAGTTTTCTCCATCACAAAAACCCACCACCCCTCCACCCTGTGGAAGCACAAATGTCTGTTCCCATGTTCTTTAAAGACTGCATTCCACAATGTTGTGTGTTAGCAGGATGGGGTGGCTGAGTTCAGCTTGTCACCCTGCATACTTGTCACCCTGCATACTTGTCACCCTGCTTACTGGGGAGGAACAACGAAAGCAGGAAAGAGTATTTAGTGTTTCTGTCATCTGAGGTTTATGTACACAAGAGTCTTAACTGGAAAGGAGAAAAAAAGGAAGAGAAAAGGAGGAAGAGCGGGGAAGAGGAGGGAGGGGGAGGGAGGGAAAACAAAGGAAGAGAGCAAGTCTGGAACAGGTAGAAAATAGATTGCCTTGGGGGTAGTATTAAATCATAGAGTAAATGGTACAAGTTCATAATTAACGTGCTCATGTTTTAGAAAGACAATATAAAACATTTAACATATCCCCTTACAAAATAAAGATTCAAAATAGAATACTTGGTTTAATAAGGATAAATACAATGAAAGTTCCTATAGGATATCAAAGAAAGAAGAGAGGGGGTATCCAAATGGAGGAGAAGAGGGGGTGTGGGGAGGGAAGAAGGGACAAACACAGAGGAAGAGAAGATGTGGGAGTCAAAGAAAATAGACACAGAGTCATCATACTACAGCCTTTTTAGACTCTGGAGTTAAGACCATGTCCCTCATTTTGCTCTGGTTGACATCAGACCACAAGTCCCATTTTCCAGGAAATCTTGGGAAAAACCTCTTGGCCTCATTTTCTACTGGGGCAAATGAAGGTGATTGGATCAAGTGATTTCTCAGGGACACTCCTCTTCCCCTCACCCTATAGTTTTGGCCCTTTGCTGAGGGCCACAAGTGTGGGCACAGCTCAGCAGGCCTGCTGAAGAACTCAGGCTGCTGTTTGTTTTGCTAAATCATTAGTTGGTTTGCATCTTTTCTCCCTTCAAGTATATTTGCAATTGAATTTACACTTGCTGCTTATTTTGCTTCTAAGGTACTTTTTGGTTCCAAGAATCTCCGATTCTGGAACCAAGGGCTGTCTGACTAGCTGCTTCTCAGAGTCCATAGTATGGGGCCAGAATCTAGAAAGTGATATACCATATTAATAATTAAACAACAACTCAGGGTGTTGAGTCCCTAGATTCTGTAAGGTCCCAAGTGGAAATGTCAGAAAACTGGTCTATTGCCTAACTGATTGCTTCACAGGGAAGAGACAAACTAGAATTGCTTCCTGAGATTACATGGCACAGTGAATAGAGACAAGATGACAAAGCTGTAGTTCATGTTTGTTCAGTGTATTAAAGAACAAAAGCTGGCAGGATTACTGCAGCTTGCTCTGGGAGGTCAAACAGTGCACAGCACTCAAGCTTTGGAATTCACTGAGTTTAAACAATGGCCCCAGATTTCCTGGGGCAAGTTCATAAAGATCAATGGCTGACTTCTTGTACACCGAACCTCAACACATTCTATGTGTTGGTCTCACTTGTTTTCACATTGTTTAATGTGTACTTATCCACAGACATGCCAAGTGAGCAGCAGAACAATATAAAAGTAGAATCTCTCATTTTACCTTTTATCTTTTACAAACACAATATTGGTACTAAGTAAGTGTACAAAACATACTTGAACTTGATTAATTAGCAACAATTAATTAGCAACGAAGCAAATGAACAAATAAATTATTAATGAACAATCAAATTGTGGTTCTGGTGAAAGCAGATATACAAGAAATGAACTCTCTGTCCTGTCTTCCCCAAACCTCATTGCTTCAACCACTGGAAGAAATTTCTGGAAACGACATGGCCCATCTTGCTCACTTAGCTAAGTGTGAGAAAGACAGATTTCACCTTGTAAATGTGAGAGCTGGAAGGGACCCAAAGTTCATTTAGGCCAGACAGCTCATCTTACAGAAGGAAAAAAGGAAGGCTTCAGGTGACTAAATCAGACGTGTTGGTTAGGAGATGAGCTGGAACAAGAATCAGTTGGTGTGTGCACCTCTCCACCTTGATGTTTGAACCCTTCTTTCTTTAACAGCTGCCTACATCCACTCAATAAGCCCTTTATGAAAGAAAAGAAAGAAAGAGGAAAAAGGGAGGGAAGAAGGGAGGGAGAGAGAGAGACAGAGAGAAGAAAGAAACAGAAGAAAGAAAAGTGGAGGGAGGGAGGGACAAAGGAACGAAAGAACGAATGAACAAAGGGAGGAAGGAATCTCTGTGTTATTATATATTTGAGTGAAAGTAAAGAGAAACTTCCAGTCCAAACAGAATGGGTTGCCTTTTTCCTCTCTGATCCTCCCTTAAGTAAAAAACAAGCCCCAGAAATTACACAAGAGCCAGTCCAGGGCATACACTGAAAGGCTGGGGAAAATCAAACTGGCCGTGACCCCAGTTCTAGAGGAACAACACAGTAGTAAGGCCCTTGGTCTCCTCACACACAGCAGAAGATGGCCCCAGATCTTGCCCTTCCTAACACCAGGAGGCAGCCCTGTAGGCCCCTCCTCCATGCTTGAACAGGAGCTGCTCTGGTGGTGCCCATTAAGCCACTGGCCTGTGGACCAATGGGAAGCTCTGCAAATAACAGTCAGCCAGGAGACAGACAGATGTGCTCTTGCTCTTCTCCTGAGTCTCATCTCCCTCTTAGAGAGGTACAAGGAGGCCAGGTGGCACCAGCAAGGGGGGAATCCATGGAAAGGAAGTAAAAACGCCACTCTAGCATATTGGCAATTTACATTAAAGACACTTGAAAACTAGCAGGAACAAAAAATGTCCTTCTGATTTACCTCTAGTTTCTTAGATGCAGATGAATATTCCATGTGAAAGATAGCCTTCCTACAGCAAAAGGAATAAAATCCTTACCTCAAGGCTGAGAAGCAGAGATCAAAGTAATTCTGTTCAGATCTTATTAAAATAAATCTTATCTGTGAAGCCTTCCCACATAGTTTAGTTGCTTTCTTTGTTCTTTTTTTTTGACAGAATCTCACTATGTAGCCCAAGTTGGCCTCGAACTGGTAATCTTCCTACTCTACCCTCCCCAGTTCTGGGACTACAGACATGCACAACTGTGCCTGGCTCATAGATTACCATTTTTTGTTTAATTCAGTATCTAAGCAGCTGACTCCACCTGCCAAGCATTTTATTGGTGGAGCTGGAATCTCCTGAACTTTTTGCCTGGATTGGCCTCAAACCGTGATCCTCCTGATCTCTGCTTCCTGAGTAGCAAGGGTTACAGGTATGAGCCACCACACCCAGAAAACTCTAGCTGTATCAATTATACTAATGAAAATATTCTCTTCTCTGAAGTTATGGGAAGAGTTGAATCCTGTTGTGTGCTCTGTTCACTGACTCACAGTCCTAGGACACAGTAGTTTGGGATTTGTGTGCTCATCTCCAGAGAGATTTCTGTGTAGTCCAGGTTGAGGGACTGTCCCCCACAGCAGAGTTGAATTTGCAAAAGCAAATTCATCCACTAATGTAAATTCAAACCTATAACACAGAAGGTCCATGGTTATAGTTTATTATTAATAATTATAGTTATTATTATATAGAAGCAAGGTCAAGATGATGATTCTTCCTTCAAATTTCCTTTCTATGTGGTTAAATTGTTTTCCTAATGCAAGTATAGAAGTATATTGGCAATTAAAGTCTTCAGCTAATGAAATTCCTAAGTTCCAATTCCAACAATTTTGAGTTTGAGTTTGTCTGTTTGTTTTGGTGGTACTGAGGTTTGAACTCAGGGTCTCAAACTTACAAGGGAAGTGCTCTACTACTTGAGCCACTCTGCCAGTCCATTTTCATTTTGGGTACTTTTGAGTTAAGGTCTCACAAACTATTTTCCTGGGCTGGCCTCAAACCAGGATTCTTCTAAGTAGCTAGGGTTACAGGCGTGAGCCAGTGGCACCCAGCTTGAGTTGTAATATGGTATCAAAATGGAATATCACAAATGACTGAAAAGGCTATAACTATTATCCTTTATTAGACAATATGTGTCTATGTGAAGCCTGATGTTCTTCATAGAGTTCAATCAAAATAGCTTACTGCAAGAAGTTGAATGCACATGCAGATATATAAATCTAGGCAGACATTACACTAGGTCAAACATGAAAGAGATTTGCAAAATGTAAATCAATGCTTCTTTTTACCACCATCTTATTTTCATTTTCAAAATCAAGTTTAACATGCAATGGTTGGGCTGTTATTTTAATGTTAAGATGTTATTTTAGCCAGGCGAGTGGCATGCATCTATCATTCCAGCCCTTGGGAGGCTGAGGCAAGATTGCCAGTACAAAGCATTTTCAGTTTAAATTCCTAATGCAGTGAACATCATTAGAGAAAAAGGCATAAAAGAAAGTTCTTTGAGATCCTTAATTCTGAAGAGCGCTGCTGAATGCATTCTGATCACTCTCTCTCGGTTGTCCCTTTTCACTCATCTTTCTCAGTGTACTACTCCAGTCCTTTTTCCTTCCTCCACGACCTGGTTTCTCCCAGTTTCTGATGTTTGTTCCATGATTATTACATGATGTCTCTCCTCACACTCACACTCCCAAGTAAATGACACTCAAATTTATATCCATGACCCGATTACTTCACCAAGCTCTCTACCTATAAAACTGGCCATCTACATCACTGATGTTCCTAACTCAAATGCTCCCAAACTAACTGTAAGTAACTGGTGTCATTTTTAAATCCTGTCACCTAAGTCAGAAATTTGTGAGTTATCTAAATTCTTTTTTCTGCCTCCCTTGTCCATAGCCAAGCCCTGGAGTTTCCCTTCTTACTTATTTCTGGAAAGTTTCTTTGTACCCATCCTTCCATCAATTCAATAGTTCAAATTCTCTTGACCTACATTTCTACAAGCCTTCCTAATAGATTCCTCTACTAATCCTTCAACCCTCACAAGTAATCCATAGTTCTAATTCTGAAATACAATTTCTGAAATGCTACTCACCTGTTACAAACCCTCCAATAGCCCCCAGTGGAGCCTTCAGGAAAACAACTTAGGTCTGCCATCAAAACAGAGGAGACATCATCATGGCAATTGTCCCTTCCCAATCTAATCTCCCACTTGCCTGCCCCTTCCTGAATCTTTTTTTCTTTAGCAAACTGGAATTACTTTCTGTTCTCTGAACACAATTTGCATCTCTTTTCCCTGTACTGTAAGGCACCTCCCTCCAGACATATCTAGTCATTGAACTCCTAGTCATCCTTTAAACGCTGAACAAATGTCTCTCTTCTCCTGGAGGGTTTTGTGGATTGCACCAGTGTCAATTGCTGGTTTTCCTATTTGTACTATAGTAATGCAAAATGTCACAATTAAGGAAAACAGAAGTGTAGACATGACTTCCTATGCAGTTTTTGACAGTTTCCTATGAATCTACATTTTTAAGTTTTATATGGCATGGATATCTTCTATCTTATCACATCAAATATTAAAAGATGTATACTCAAGAGCTGAGTATTCACACTTTTTACTGCTCCACTAAGAACATTCAGAAGTGGAAAATGACATTTCATGTACTGTGCACATGGCAGCAAAGAACCCATGACCCTGGGTCCAGTTTGGAGACAGTGCTCTGCTTCATGCTAAATCACCAGTCATTCTACCCATCACTCCTAAGCCATCAGCACAAATCACAGCACAGTTAAAAGGCAAATAATTGTATTATTATGAAACTGCTTTGTCTTTGTGGTCTCAGGAACTCCTAGGAATCTGTAACTCACACATGGAGAACCCCTCATCAGAAATCCCATGGTAAAAACAAGCAAGAACTACACCATCAGATGACTGAGGAAAAAGCCAGATTACAGAGTAGAGATAGAGGTGCTGAGTCTAGACTCTTTCAAAACTGGAATGACAGACTAGGTGTGGTAGGTCACACTTGTAATCCTAGCTACTCACCAAGAGGTCAGGAAGACCACAGTTCAAAGCCAGCCAGGGCAAAAGTGCATAAGCCCTCAACCAATAAAGATCTGGATTGGTGGCCCACTCCTGTCATTCCAGCTATGTGGGAAGCATAAGTAGGAGGCTCTAGGTCCAGACATAAATTTAAGTCCCTATCTGAAATATAAAGCAAAAAGGGCTGGTAGTGTTGCCCAAGGTGGTAGAGCACCTGCCTAGCAAGCATGAGGCCCTCAGTTCAAGCTTCAGTATCACAAAAATAAATAAACTAGAGTGACAACAGTAGTACATTGCGATAGAATGACTATAAAAAAGTTTGGTTTATTTGTTTGTAGGTTTGTGAAGAGGAAAGTCTGATTTACACCAGGAAATAGCTCCACTAGAAATGAAGACAAGGTTTGTAACTGACTAAAGCATGATTCCTGAAAAAGTGGAAGATAGCATTAAGAGGACAGAGCAAAGGAGGAGACAAGAAGCCTGTACTTTAGAGATGGGGTTGATTCAAAGAAGTTCCAAACAAACATTCCTATTTTTTTCTTTAATGAACTAGGATGCAAAGACATCAGATTAAAGTGATAAAGTTAAGGGATGAGAAGAGCATTTGAAAGCAGGAAGTTTAGGCAAATTTGGAGGTGAATGCAAGAGGAAATTGACTCAGATAATAAACAGATTTGGAAACACAGTTGGGAGAACAGCTGAAAGTCAGACATTCTTAGGCATAAATTAAGGCCACATCATTTTCCTCAATCAGATGAAATGGCAACCATACCACTACTGTCAGTAGCTCTCCCAGGATCCTCCCTCTCTTAAGAACTACAGGGTGTTTCCCCAGTATAGGTGTGGAGGGAAATGGTCAGGCCCACTCTTACCTTTGAAAGGGAAAACCAGAAACTTACTTTGTTGCCAGGAAGTCTTGGGCAGCTGCTTCTCTGGTGTAGCCCCAGCCACACAGTGTCACTACCTGTGTGGTAACACAGCACCACCAGTGCAGGAGTCTGGCCCCTGGATGAGTGATCTCTGAAACCATTGCTCAAAGACACATAACCTTAAAAAAAGAAAATGCTCCTTGCACATTTTTATGATGACATCTAAACTTTTGTCCATAATCTAAAGAGTTGCAAAATACATCATTTCTGGAAAACTGCAAATGCTGCTATTTTAAAATAAAACAGTTGCGGGCATCCAGTGGAATGTAACCATACAACATCCACTGAATTAAAAACAGATAAAACACCTCCTTAGCATTGCATATTTTGCATGATTCGTTTTTACTTTCAAATTGTATTGCTATTCCACTTTCTACACATAATTTTCTCCTAATGTAATAGACTTTTACATTTGGAAGTCTTCTGTTGATAATCCTGTCATACTTCTCTGAAATGAACGTATGTAGATAAGTTTAAGGTATGAAATATTTTTGCTTTGGTCTCCAGGGGAGTACAAACCTTGACAAAAGTCAGAAACTGGAAGAGGCAGAGGTATTTATGAGAAATTGTGATTACATCCTCCACAACTATGAGGAAAGAAGTCCCATCTCACACTTCCCTACCTACACTTCTGCATTGCTTTAGTTTATTTTAGCAGGCATCCAGTATTTTGATAAATTTTTAAATATAACTTTTAAATTACCCACGTTAATCATTCCTGGAATACTATTGTAAACCAAAAAAGTACTGATGAAATATTCCATGCAAAGCAGTGGTTTTCACAAGCAATTCTTTCCCATAAGGTATAAAAATCAATTCACATGCTTTGACTATTAGTACTTGTATTTTAGAGAAGACATCATGGGGACAAAGTCAAGTGCAGAGTCAGGAGTTTTCATGCAGTAACATGGTTCCTGAAATATGGGGAACAGATTTTATCAGACTTGGGCAGCTGCAGGGTGGAGAATGGAGGTGTTCAAAAATGCTTAGGGAGGTCCTGGGGAGGGATTTGTTCCGGGAACTCAAGGGCTGGTTCAGATGCAACAAGACAGGAAAACCAATATGAGTGGATGGACTCAGAAATTTGGCTCAGAAGGTTTAACAAGTTACTTCTGACCCAAAAGGAAAGGACTTTGGGAAAACTCTTTTGACAGAAAGTCCCTGTTCCAGGCAATATGCTAGAGATTCCGAACTTAGCCCACCACCTAGGCAGAGGAAATAACTAAGAATTCATTTTGTGACTAAAAATCATTCAACAACCTTTGTAAATACAATAAGCGCACTTACCTTATGTGCTCACCCCCACTTCCACTGAGACCTCAGAAGCTTTCATCAGAATGCTAAGCAGCTGTCAATGATTCCTACCTATACATATACCATACACAGACTTGGTGTATATGGAAATATATATATATATATATATATACTGTGTATATATATATATGTATATGCAAATGTATGTCAAATCCATGTGTTCCAAAGAACAGTAATTGTTCTGCTGAAATGTTAACAGAGCCACACAACAGAAGAGGTGGAAACAAAGGTCACTTTTTTATAGTTAGGAAATAAATTTTTCACTAAAACTGTTAATTTAAATATCAATCCAAAACAAATGGAAGAGAAGGGCTGAATTAAAGGAGCTGAAGGCAGGAGATGTCAGAGAAGAGATGGAGCACAGAGCTGGGAGAGAGGGAAGGGAAGAGGACAAAGTTAAGAAATAGACTATGGAACTTACAGCTTGAAGCCACTAGAATGGATAGAATGACCCAGGGAAGACGGAGGAGAGAAGAATGCATGAGGAAACACCTGGAAAATGTCTGCATGAAACAGTGGCAGTGGAGAAGGGATTGAAGACAGAAAGAGGAATATAGAAGAATGAAGAACAGAATTTCAAGGAAGAGAGTCAATAAAGACAACTAGTTCAGAAAATTCAGTTAGAGCAGAGATATTAACAGAAGGCTATTAGTAAGTCACCAAAAGGACATACTAAAGATATTTTTATATTATGGCAAAATACATTTAATATCAGATTTATCATTTTACCTACTTTTAACTGTACAATTCAACTGCCTGAAGTACATTCACATGTTGGGCAGCTTATGTCCCCATAACCATGTTCTCATTTTCAACTGAAACTATCCATTACTCAGTCTCTCTCCATTCTTCTATCCCCACATGGGACCACTATTCTCTTTTCTGTCTCTATGAAATCAACTATTCTAGATCCTTCTTATAAGTACAGTCATACAATATTTGCTTTTGTTTCTGCGCTATTTCACTTAAGAAAATGTTTTTAGGGTTCATTCCTGTATTATCTTATATCAGAAAGTCTATTCCTTTTTAAAGTGAATAATATTCAGTGTGTGTACTATAGCTTGCTGATAATTTACCAAATACTCCTCAACACCTGGGCTATTTCCCCCTTGAGGTTATTGTGAATAATGCTGCTTTGAACATTGGTATACACATAACATATTCATCCTCACACCACTTATTATTTTCTGATTTTTTGTTATAGCCATGCTAATGGGAGTTATGTAGTATTCATTGTGGTTATTTTCCTAAATCAATATTGTCTTATGTAGTACATTAAATTTTTCATTTTTTAATTTTTTAACTTACACGAAAATATAAAAGTACCATATAATGTTTGATACATGTATACATTGTGTAATGCTTAAATCAGGTTTAATATGTTTATCATTTCTTTATCATGAAAACCTTCACAATCCTTTCTCCTATCATTTTATAATGTCCATTACATTATCATTATCTATAGTCACCATACAAAGCAATAGTACCCCAGAGCTTCAGACTCCTAAGTAACTTAGCACCTATTCATCAACCTCCCCCATTCTTGCCTTCCCCCTTCTCTCTACCAACCCCTGACAATCACCATCTATGCTCAGCTTCTATGAGATCAACTTCTCTCAGGTTCACGAGCTGAGATCACACAGTATTTGTATTTCTGTGCCTGACTTATTTCATGTAGCAGAGTGACTTCCAGTTCCTTTGATGTTGTCACAAATGGTGACAATGATGTATGTCATTACAAATATTCACCACATTTTCTTTATCCAGTCTCCCACTGATGGACAACTAGGTTGATTTCATATCCTGGCTATATTGTTAATAGTGTTGTAATAAACACTCAAGTGAAGTCATCTCTTCATAATACTCATTTCATTTTGGATATATACCCAGTAGTGGGATTGGTAATTCTCTTTCTAGTTTTTTGAGGGGCCTCCAGATTGTTTTCCATGATGACCTACTAATTATATTCCCACCACAATGTAAGAGACTTCCCTATGCCAGCATTTTTTTCTTTTCACTTTGATAATCGCCATTCTAACTATGGGGAGATGGTATCTCATTGTGATTTTTATTTGCATTTCCCTCATAATTAGTGGTGCTGAGCATTTTTCATGAACTTGTTGGTCATTTGTACATTCTTTTTTGAAAAATGTCTGTTCAGGTCATTCATTTTTAAATCAGATTGTTTTGTTTCTATTGCATTTCTTTACATACTGAAAATTATTTTCTTGTCAGATGATAATTTACAAATATTTTTTCCATTCTGTAGGCTGTTTCTTCACTCTGTCAATTGTTTCATTTGCTGTATAGAAGTTTTTTAGTTTTATGTATTATTGACTGTGCTTTGAGCATTCTATCCAACAAAAAAGTCTTTGCCCAGACCAATGTTGTGCAGTGTTTACCCCTGTATTTTCTTCTAGTACTTTCAATGTTTGGGACCTTCCATTTAAGACTGTTATGCATTTTGAGTTGACTTCTGTATGTGGTGAGAGACAGGGGCCTAGTGTCTTTCTTCCATATATCGACACCCAATTCTCCCAGCACCAATTATTGAAGGGCTTTCCTTTCTCCACAGTGTGTACTTGCTGCCTTTTTAAAAATCACTTGGCTATAAATATGTGGATTTATTTAGGTGTGTTACATTCTGTTCCACTGATCTTTGTGTCAGTTTTTATGCCAGTACTGTGCTATTTTTGTTACTATAGCTTTGCGGAACATTTTTAAAGTTTTCACATCTCCTTAAATTTTCCAGTTTTCTCTGTTATTAACTTTTAGTTTCATTCCAGTATGAGCATAAAAGATACTTGGTAATGATTTTGATTTTTTCAATTAAATTTTTTGTGACCTACCATGTGATCGATCCTGAAGTGTATTCCATGTTCACTTGAGACAAATGTACATACTGCTGTTGTTGAACAAAATATTACCTACATATCTATTATGTTCCGTTGGTTTATATAAATATAACATTCAGATACATAAGGAAACCAGAGTTATTGTGAACAGGACAAAAGAAAGACAATTCACAAAAAAGGAAATTCAACTAGAAATGTAAAATAAAACAAGGATGGAAAGACATTTGTGACCAAACAAATGAAAGCTTTGAAGTGACTCAGAATACTGGAAGCGGGTAAGATGAGAAGGAAAACCACAGAAGGGTGGAAAGGCAACAAATTATTTAATGAACATTAAGGAATAACATAGAAGAGAGTGAGTACATGGCGGTATGTGTGTTTGGTCAGGAAATTAAAGTAAGACATTGAAGACAGGGAAGGAACAATGGCTAGACAAGGCAGTAAAAATAAAAGAGAAGGCCATGTTTCCTGGATTCATGGCATATGAACATGGGAGTGAGTAGGTTCTCATGAAGGAAGATTAAGGGACACTCAGTTATTGGAGATAAATCAAAGAGGAATGGGGCAGTTTTTGGAAAAGGGAGAGTCTACATTGATATTTCTTGGCAATAAAACAAAATTCCCACAGGAAACTGTGGGAGATAAATAAGGAGACAAGATTAGGCTTGGTTGAAAACATAGAGTATGATGTCTGCCCTGGGTATGGTGGGATGGGAAGTGGGGAAGGGTAGGTGGAGATAATTTCATCTTGTTAATATCCCTTGATATTACTTACATATGAAACTAATTCCTTAACTAAATTCTTTTTAAATTTACTGGGGTTGTTTTTCTTCTGTGGAAACTAAAAAAAAAGGAAAACTAATTAACCTTGTTCTGAGGTTATTAGGCAGATGCATGCTTACATCTGTATAGAGATCCTATGAAATACAATAACTGCCATGCATCCTAATATGAGATGCTCAAAAACTTTTCCCACTAACCATTTCCCCATAGACAGGTACTGGCACATTCATGGAAATAAGGAAGTACTAAAATGCTCTCTTGCATTTGCAACTTTATATTACTTAAAACACTTCATACCCTTCACCATAGGTTCAGGAAAGTCTAGGAGGTATTTCTTAACAAACCTATAAAAGTATTAATAATGGCAAAATGTTTCCTGAAAATGCAATTTCCTATGGCATTTTTGGTTGTTGTTCTTTTATTTCTGTATTCCTGGAACTAATAAAATTGATGTAGCTATGTGACATATCAATAGACATAAATTAGCAAGTGTTCATATTGCTAAAACATCTGAGATTGCTGAGTCGTCTGTGACTGTTTAAATGAGGATGACACAATTTTGTCTGTCCTATGCCAGGAACACTCGTCTGGAACAGGGAAAAAAACTATGTGGAATGATTTTTCATTTAAACTAACTCAAGCTGTGTCTAAATTTCAGCAAATTCCTTCCTAAATTTCAGCAGCCACCCTGCTCCACATAGAGGGAGACTCGTTTTTATTTTGTGATGACAGCTGTGTATGAAGACCAAGAGGCTGCACTTGCATGTAGGATCTCCCATCTTAGGTATTTTCTCTTGCCTTTCCCATCTGTCCTTGGTTGAATTCTTTAGTTCCTCAACACTAATCCATGCCTTAACTCAGAGAACTTCTACCTCACAACCTCATTCAAGGATTCAACACATACATGGATAAAGGAAACCTAACAATGGAATGTCTTGGGAATGGAGGAAATAGGCAGATAAAATTTTCAGTTTGGAAAACCTAACTACCTTTATGAGCACTGTTGCCTATATCCAGTCTGTCTTTCTGAAGCCTTGTTATAAGTTAACTTTCTGTGACATTGTAATGTGCTGGTAGAACAAACTCACGGCTGATGTCAAGAAGACCCATGAAAATAACATGTATGGGGAAGGATGTGGAGAAATCACAACCTATGGTAGTTGGAAAGAAAAATAGTTCAGCCACTATTAAAAAGAATCTGGCATTTCCTCAAAATATTAAACAAAATCACCATATGACATCACAATTCCACTAGTAGATACATAGTCAACAGAAATGAAGGCATGCACACCCCACAAAAATGTGCATGGAAGACCAGAGCAGAATCACTCATAATAGCCAAAAAATATAAGCAACAAAAATGCCTACCAACCAATGAATGGATAAAAAAAATGTGGTGTAGCCACACAATGGAATATTATTCAGCCATAAATAGAATGAGTCATGCTACAACATGGATGAACACTGAAAATATATGGTCACAAAAAGGACAAATGCTACATGATTTAACTTATATGATATACTTAAGATAAGCAAATTCATAGAAGTAGGTGGTAGATTAATGGTTTCCAGCATCTGAAGAGAGGATAGAATGAAATATAAATTTTCTGTCAGAGGTGGTAAAATTATTGTGGAATGAGATCATAGATTGTATAACTTTGTGAATATACTAAAAACTAGTCATTTTCACAGTCTAACATGGTATAGCTTATGATACAGGAACTATATCTCAGTGGAAAGGGGGTCCACAGAACAAGCAGTCCTACCCCTAGTGATTCTATGTCCTCAAGACCCCTCTACCTGGCCACAGAAATCCTTCAGGGTACAGGATGTTCCAGGAAAAATGCTATTTCTTCTACTCCCCACTTTCACTTCTCAGTTTCTCATTTCTCCTAAATCCCACTTGATAAAGCACTTTGGGAAAACTAGAGTTGGTGCTATAGTTTGGATGGTTGAATACAATTGAATGTCTCCTGAAAGTCCATATGTGAAAGATGGGTCCCCATGGTGATGGTATTGGAGGGTGCTATGGAGCTTCGACACTTGGGAGCTTAGATCCTTAGGTCACTGGGGCATGCTCTCAAAAGGAATTTGTGGGACCTCAGTCTCTTCCTCCTTTCTGCTTCCTGGTTCATGATGTGAGTGGTGTGCTCTGGCACATGCTCCCACCATGATGTGCTACCCTAACCAAAGACCTGAACAAACAGGTCCACCTGATCTTAGACTTGAACTCCAGAACCATGAGCCAAAATAAACCTTTATTTCATAAGCAGATTGTGTTCAGTATTTCATTAGAGTCATGTAAAGCTGACTAAAACTGTTGGGCAGGATTTTATTGTCTCTCTAGTGTACACTCAGAGGAAATCACCATTTCCGTCCCCACTCATTTTCCCAGATGTCATGTTCTTAGAGTTGTTTCTGGATGTCTACAGGAACTACCTTCCCCTTCCTTATAGAGGACGAGTCTAGGGCATTTTATTTGACCCACCTCTGAATCTTCAGATTGGGGTAATGTTTTCTCTTTGGAGCATACTGAAGAAAAGGGTATTATCACTTAAACGGGAGGGAATATGTCATTTTAAATCAGAAGGCTGATTTATGGGGGTGAGGGGTAATAGATAACCATTCAGGTTCATCAGCCAAATTATCTGACTAGAAATCTCACCTATGCAATTCACTAGCTATGTTATCTCCTATTTAACCACTCTTTGCCTCAGTTCTGTCATGAGTAGAATAGGACTTTAATGATATCTCTTTGGACTAGAATTAAAAATACTTTTCTGGCTAAATATAAATTACTAGAGAAATTTTTAGAATGAACAAAAGCTTTCAGAACTAAAAGGTAGCAAAAGTAAGTTTTTGTGGATTATTGGCTGTCCAGAGTGCACCTTTCAATTCAATGTCCAAAAAAAGGAAAAATACATTTTTAACATTGAGAGAGCATAGGGAAGGATGGAGTTGAAGGAACTGTGAGGAAGCTGGAGTGCTGAATTTATTATCATTGGTTTTAGACAAGTTTGTACGTGCATTCTAAATGAGCCAATGATTGCAGATTTGCATTTCTTCCTATAGCAAAAAGGAAGTACACTAATAGGACAGTAGCTCTGTCTTTCCTCATAAATTTATGTACTCAGGATGGTGAAAGCTAATCTGGTTGTGAAATCCAAAGTTGATTTACTTGAAATGCCAACTGAAATGATGAAGCAGAGGTGGCAAGAGGAGCAGTATATATCCAGGATCTCACCTTCTGCCACACACAGGCTAACAGACAACCTGACCACTTCTGCTTCCACCAGGAGCACAGGTAAGTACGTCCAGCCATTACAGCTGAATAATGTGAATTATGTCTGAGAATAATAACAATGATGTGCTTTATATCATGCATATACTTTATTCTGTCTGATTGGTTTTTATTTATTATGCCAAGGAAAAATTAAAATAGATCCTTCATCCAATTTGCTGATTTCCAAGCAACCAAATGCACCCTTACAAGTATGTAGGATAAGTGTCTGGCAGCCACAGAGCCTTGAAGAAGTCAGAGACATATCTCTTGTCAGCTGGCTGGATGTTATTCTCAGAAAACTTCATCTGGGCATTTGTTAGAAAAGCTTTCTACCCAAACTAGTACAGCCAATGACGAAGAACAGATAAAGATGTTCTATTAGTTATTCACAAAGCCTTTTTTAAATAGTGCTTTTATGAATCTTGTAATTAGGTGACTTATACATGTACATTATAGAAGTCTTAAAAAAGAAAAAGAATAAAAACTTTAATTGCTAGAATCTCATAACCCAACTATGTTATTTCCTTTAAGAAACTTTCATTGCAAAGTGATGCTCCACTCAGTTAGGTCATTGTAAAATGAATCTAATGCTTTTCTAGGAGTTCCAGATCCACACTCAGGTCACCATGAATTCACTCAGTGAAGCAAACACCAAGTTTATGCTGGACCTATTCCAACAGCTCAAAAAACCAGAGAAAAACTTCTTCTGTTCCCCTCTCAGCATCTCGTCAGCACTATCAATGCTCCTCTTAGGAGCCCAAGGAAACACTGGAAGAGAAATTGAGAAGGTAGGGTACCCACTTCCTTACATTGACTTGTTTGACCTTCTTTCCATTGTTCTTTCTGCTAGTGTACAGATAGCTGGTTACAGATTCAGTGGCCTAATGAGTGACACAGGATGCCAAACAGGCATTCCTATGACTGTGTGATCACTGTCTCCAAATGTTTGCCCATCTATTCCCTTGTGCCTAAGTGTTCTTTGGGAGCTGGGATGACCTATTACAACTGCCCAATAACCGGAAGTGAGTTCAAAATCTGCAGACCACTGACTGATGAAATGCACCACCTAAAATTCAGGGACATATCATCAGATGTTCCCTTCATGATGAATGAAGGAACATTTGTTGAAGTAGCTGGTGATAAACCATGTTTTTTCAAAGAGCAAACCCATACCCTTGGTTTGGAGGTTTTTACTTTGTTTCTTTGATATTTTTTGGTTTTTTCATTTGCTTGAGGGTTTTGTTCTGTTCTTTCCTCTGATATTTTGAGTAAAATTTTATTTTCCTACTTCCTGTGTCTTCCAGGTCCTTCACATCAGTGAAAACACAAAGCAGACAACAAAAAGAGCTACAAGCAGCCAAGTAAGTCGTAGAGTAGTTCAGTCTTAGTAGAATTTCAGATATTTGAGAAGGTCATAGTTTAAACTGAGAATTTCACATTACCTAAAGTATTTAGAAGAAATCTCTGACAAAAGATATTAAGACATGCAGAGTGGTTTTGCAATTCATTTCATAATTACTGTTTTCGTATTTTTTTTTTAAACTTAGAAGGTCACAATTGTACTTAAGAACATGGGTCTGCAGTCAGATAGACTAGGCTCAAATTCCAGCTCTGCTCTTCATGAATGTTGGACATGAGAAGACACAACTGTGCTCTGAGTCACAGTGACCTCATCCCAGTAAACTGGGCCTAAAAAAGAATCTGACTCAATACATGAAAACGTTTACAACAGTGCCTGTTCTGTTGTCAGTAAGAAGTCATAGTGAACATTAGTTATGATTCTTATAAAATAATAAATATTATAATCACAATAATGTTACTAAAATAATTGAATTTTAATCAATTCAGAAATATAGTCAGAAAGAATAAGCACAAGTTTAAATATATTTTGGGAAATGATCACTAAAACATACACATACATTGTTTTAGAGACTTAATAGTTCAAAACTCTTAGCTAGCAAGTAGAAATGTCAATATTCACATAAACTAGGTTGAAAACTTGGTTCTGCTAATTTGTGCCTTCCTGGATACTTTATTTCTCTGAGTTTTTTTTTTTTTATCTTCATGTCAATTAGACTAAGACTTAGATTATGGGTGTGAGATCCTTAGCTGTGTACCAGGCACACATGGCTCTTACCAGAAGGCAATGACCATCACAAAAGAAGAGCCATAGATCACAGTGCACATATTTTAAAAGATGATACCACCAAGAAGTATATCAGACTTTCATGTTATCACATACTTAAAATATCTAAACTTCAACAAAACAATATTCTTTTCTTCTTTTATTAGCCTATTGTAGTTGCACAGGGAGTACTTTGTGATATTTACATAAGCGCTTACAATATATCTTAATTAGATTCACCCCTCCATCTTTCTCCTTTTTCCTCCCCCATTTTTAGAACAATTTCAATAGATTTCATTATTCTATTTTCATACATGAATACAAAATACTTTTTCCATATTCACCCTCCTTCACCCTTTCCTTATGCCCTCACCCCCTCATACTGGTACCCACCCCCAGACAGGACCTGTTTTACCTTGCTGTCTTCATTTATTAAAAAGGAACATTTTTATTAGTTTATGATAGTTATACAGATATTTCATTGTGACATTTATATATATATAATACACCAAATTGGTTCATCTCCTCCATTGTTCTCCCTCATTCCCCATTCCCTTTCTTATGGTGACTTCAACAAATTTCAATGTTTCATATTCATACTTGTATTGAAAGTACATCAACCCTCTTTACTTTTATTTACCCTCCCCTGGCCCCTTCCACCAGTGCCCTCCCTTAGCACAACCTAATTTATGTTCCTGTCCTTCATTATTTAGGTGTCTGCTCATTAAGAACAAACCAATGGTTTGTCCTCTGCATCTTTAGTTTAAATGAGATGGAGTGTGATTGGAGTATGTTAGGGCAGGAGGAAATAATTTCTTGGAAGAGGTTAAAGGTAATGTGAATCCTTAAGAATATTTGAGATAAAATATATCAATTATTAAGAAATAAGCAAAAGGTCATCTTACAAATTACTTACATTTAGCTATTGATCTAACAGACTTCTCATGAGTTTAGTATTTACATGGACAGAGTAACTCAATAAGTGCCCTTTTTGATGTTGAAGGTTGAAAAGTCAGGAAATGTACATCACCAATTTCAAAAGCTCATGACTGAATTAAACAAACCCACTGATGCATATGAGATGAAAATTGCCAACGGACTTTTTGGAGAAAAGACTTTTCAGTTTCTTCAGGTAAGTGTCACCTGGCTTTTCACAACTTTAATCTGCATCTTACATCTCTGAATAGCCGAATGGAGGAGAGTAAGGCTTGGGCAACGGAGTTCGTCATAAGATGCAGTTAGTGAGTTGACACTGACTCAGTCACAGAGAATATGTTTTGGTGGGAGATGTATAGTATGGTATATTTCTTGAATAAGCAGCCTTGCAAAAGTCTCTTGAGAGAGTTCGAGGAGTGCCAGGGAATACTGAATTCCCAGGATAGAAGGTATAAACAAAGATGAGAAATGTAAAGGTTGATTTACCAGTGAGACGTCTCAGAAGCAAATGGTCTCCATTTGCTATACACAGCAACTTGCTATACACAGCCTCTTCTCCACTGGTCTTTTACAAGATTGTATTGACCTTCAGTGACCTCCTTTTGTGTCAGCCTTCACTCCCCTTTCACATGGCACCTGTAGAGAAATATGCATGTACAGGAAATAGCAGATTTGGTCAGGGTCTGCATTCAGCTTCTTATAATCATAAGTAGTTAAATTTGGTAATGCATGCATTACTCTTAATTCCTCCTTTCTTCCTTCGCCTCTCAAAGGAATATGTGGAAAACACTAAGAAATTTTACCTAGCCAATGTGGAACCTGTTGACTTTTTAGAGGCTGCTGAAGAAAGCCGAAAGAAGATTAATTCCTGGGTGGAAAAGCAAACAAATGGTAGAGTATGGGAGGAACACTGTTGAGTACTTTGTGAGCAAGCCTGTGCTCCCTATGCTTGACATGGGAGAAGTGCTGGGACAGGATGTGGAGATGGGTTTCCAGAGAGGGTGAAGAAGGCATTGCAGATGGTGACATGGTCACAGTAAATGTGGAAAAAGCCAAGAGGAACCAGCCAGGGGATAGCATGAACCCAATTACATGGAAACACAGTGGGAGAACTGTTTTCACAGTGACAGTATCTATGGATCTCAAGTCCCCACCCATTTTGAAATGATATCCTTTTCTTTAAATCAGATCCACTTTTGATTATGGGTATTTAAAAGAAGACATTAGAAAGGATTTCTTTCTCTTTTTTACTAATTGGGGAAATAAGCAGCTCTCCTATAAACCACACTCCTTTGTCATCTTAGCTGGAGCTGCCAGGACCACATTGCCACCCATAGTTCCTGGAGGGATTATCACAACTGTCCTGCTCACCTATGGATACTTCTTCTACCTCCCGCCTCTCTCTCATGATAGGCCAAGCCTATAGTAACCCAATATGAGAATGCATGGAAAAATACCCAAGAAATAGTGTCTGAGAGTATGGGTATGTGTCAGATTGTAGAGCTCATATCATTTGTCCTAAAGAATAATCAGGTCCTATTTCCTCTGAGTAGTGAGCATCAAATTGAAAAAAAAAAAAAAATAGAAAGGAATGTGGAGAGGGAGTAAGGAAAGAGATAAGGTGACAGAGTAGATAAAATCTGTGTTTTATCAGTATGCAGTAAGAAATGTCTGTAATCACCCATATATAGAGTCCGAGCTTCCCCTCACAGTAAGTGCTGTCTCCATGCAGGTAATTCTCTAGGGCTGGCACCATGAAGAAGGCTGCACCTGAGGAACAGATTACTGAGTCCCTAAAATAGTGACTTGGGTGAATAACAAGTGATCAGTTGTGAACTTTTGCAAAAAACATTCTCTAGATAAACTACTTGTACATTGCACGACAGGCATTTTTGCTCTTTCCCTTACAGAAAAAATCAAGGATTTGTTTCCTAAGGACTCTTTTAACAACTCCATTGTACTGGTTCTGGTGAATGCAATCTATTTCAAAGGGCTGTGGGATCAACAATTTAAAAAAGAATATACTGAAGAAATGAAGTTTTGGCTGAACAAGGTATTGTCTATATTTTCTTTACATAAAATAATGTAGTTATACATGGAAGATTAAACTCAAACATATCCTGTGGGGTGGACCATTGAAAGTACAAAATAGAATATGTCATGGCTGTCATTTTGTGGCTTTATTTTTGGAACTTTATTTAGTTAGCAATACCTGAAGAAACTTTTGTTTCTACTTCACAAAATCCCGGGTTGTCTATTCAAAGGAGAAGAGTACGTTTGTTGCCTCGATAGTAACTATTTCACCTTATGTGCCTTTTGACATCTTGACTTCTTGCAGAAGATAAGCAAACCTGTGCAGATGATGAGTCAGACAAATCATTTCAAATTTGCCTTCCTGGAGGATGTGCAGGCCAAGATCCTAGAAATACCATACAAAGGGAAAGATCTGAGCATGACTGTGCTCTTGCCAAATGAAGTTGATGGCCTGCAGAAGGTAAAACCTGCCTCTCCAGTTCTTTCTTCAGTTGTCTGGTTTCTTCCTAACACATTGTGTCCAAGCAAGACAAGAGCTTAGCGTCTAAATAATGAAAAAGCCAAAATAAGAAATGATGCTTCATCTTTGTGTTATAGATATTTTAGCAAGAGCCTGACAGATACCAACTATTAATTAAGTAGAGTTACACACATTAACTTTCTCTTTTTTTTACTTCTTTTATTCATATGTGCATACAATGTTTGGGTCATTTCTCCCCCCTTACTCCCACCCCTTCTCTTTCCCCCACCGCTACCCTCGCCTCCCCTACCCCCTCGCTACCAGGCAGAAACTATTTTGCCCTTATCTCTAATTTTGTTGAAGAGAGAGTATAAGCAATAATAGGAAGGACCAAGGGTTTTTGCTAGTTGAGATAAGGAGAGCTATACAGGGAGTTTACTTCATTGCTTTCCTGTACATATGTGTTACATTCTAAATTAATTCTTCTCAAACTAACCTTTTCGCTAGTTCCTGGTCTCCTTCTCCTATTGGCCTCAGTTGCTTTAAGGTATCTGCTTTGGTTTCTCTGCGTTAAGGGCAACAAATGTTAGCTAATTTTTTAGGTGTCTTACCTATCCTCACCCCTCCCTTGTGTGCTCTCGCTTTTATCATGTGCTCAGAGTCCAATCCCATTGTTGTGTTTGCCCTTGATCTAATGTCCACATATGAGGGAGAACATACGATTTTTGGTCTTTTGGGCCAGGCTAACCTCACTCAGAATGATGTTCTACAATTCCATCCATTTACCAGCAAATGATAACATTTTGTTCTTCTTCATGGCTGCATAAAATTCCATTGTGTATAGATACCACATTTTCTTAATCCATTTGTCAGTGCTGGGGCATCTTGGCTGTTTCCATAACTTGGCTATTGTGAATAGTGCTGTAATAAACATGGGTGTGCAGGTGCCTCTGGAGTAACCTGTGTCACAGTCTTTTGGGTATATCCCCAAGAGTGGTATTGCTGGATCATATGATAGATCTATGTTTAGCTTTTTAAGAAGCCTCCAAATTTTTTTCCAGAGTGGTTGTACTAGTTTACATTCCCACCAACAATGTAAGAGGGTTCCTTTTCCCCACATCCTTGCCAACACCTGTTGTTAGTGGTGTTGATAATGATGGCTATTCTAACAGGAATGAGGTGGAATCTTAGTGTGTTTTTAATTTGTATTTCCTTTATGGCTAGAGATGGTGAGCATTTTTTCATGTGTTTTTTGGCCATTTGAATTTCTTCTTTTGAGAAAGTTCTGTTTAGTGCACTTGCCCATTTCTTTATTGGTTCATTAATTTTGGGAGAATTTAGTTTTTTAAGTTCCCTATATATTCTGGTTATCAGTCCTTTGTCTGATGTGTAGCTGGCAAATATTTTCTCCCACTCTGTGAGTGGCCTCTTCAGTTTAGAGACCATTTCTTTTGTTGAGCAGAGCTTTTTAGTTTTATGAAGTTCCATTTATCTATGCTATCTCTTAGTTGCTGAGCTGCTGGTGTTCCATTGAGAAAGTATAGGCACATTAACTTTCAATTGGTGGAACTGGTATGTGATTATTTAAATTTGGTTAAAATAAATATACAGCAATGTGGGAAATGTTTGCAAATAGGTCAAGCAAGGAAAAAGAGTAAAAATAAGGCATACATGACAAATGTAGTATGAAATAAAGATGTGTATGGGAAAAATAAAAAGAATCTACTAAAAATGACACAGTAGGCCGATAACATAAGGAATAGTGATATATAGTTCATTTTGTACAAAGTAATGGAGTGGAATGATTCTGGTTCTGCATACACACATAATCATATTTGATGACATGTATTCACTTATGTTTGCAGGACTTTTTGCTTATTAGAATAATATTTAATAAACTGAATAATCTATTACATTTATTGCTAAAGATTTCCCACATTTTTAATTCACTGTTAAAGTGTATTAGAGAACTATATTTAATCTTGGTAGTTTTTTTTTCCCACTTTTATAGCTTGAAGATAAACTCACTGCTGAGAAATTGATAGAGTGGACAAATTCACAGAACATGCACTTAAGAAAGGTGGATTTAAACTTACCTCGGTTCAAAATGGAAGAAGGCTTTGATCTCAAGGAAGCATTGGAACACATGGGCATGGTGGACGCATTCAGTCAACATGCCGACCTCTCTGGCATAAGTGACAAAAAGAGTCTCACAGTGTCCAAAGTCCTGCACAAGTCCTTCGTGGAGGTGACTGAAGAGGGAACAGAGGCTGCAGCTGCCAGTGGCATAGTAACTGGTTTTACATCATCAGCACCACAAACAAAAGAAAAATTCTGTTGTGATCACCCTTTCATATTCTTCATCAAGGAAAATAAAACAAACACCATCCTCTTCTTTGGCAGGCTCTCTACCCCCTAAGTGTGATGACTGTCACTGCTTGAGGAAGAGTTAACAGAGTTGTTCCAGTAGATTGATGGCTGGAAACAACAGGTTCTCCTTCTTCATTTTCCTTTCCAGTCTCAGAGTCACCACTAAGAATTCCATGATTGGAACAACATGTCTATTTCTCTCTTTCTATACACACACAGATATAAACCTATTCTTTTACTTCTTTCTTTTTCTTTCCCTTAAAGAAAAATGTTCAATATTAAGATAAAAGAATATTTTAATGCTGATTCTTCTAAATTTGACATATATTCTGATTGTGACCTGTTCTAAATGAAACAAACAAAATCACATTTTCTCTTCAAACTGATTGACCTAAACATCCACATTTCCTTGAATTTAGGTGATCTCTATGTCCCTCCTTGTATTTCTAAATTTTGTGATTTTATTAAAAAATACTTTCAATAAAACAATGACTTACTCAAATTATTTGTTACTTTACCTTTTTTCTCTGCACCAAGTGCAAATGGCCAATCACACATAAAAA